GAAGAAAAAGAGAACAGAGAGAAAATGAAAGAGAAAGGGAAGAAAGAGGAAAGAAAGAGAAAGAGAAGAGGAGAAGAGAAAGAGGAAAAGAAAAGAGAAAGAAAAGAGAAAGAAGAGAGAGAGAGATAAGAGAGAAGAGAGAGAGAGAACGGAGAAGAGAAGGAGAGAGAGAGAGAGGAGAGAGAGAAGAAAGGAGAGAGAAGACAGACAGGACCCAGACAGAGAGAAGGGAATGAATGAGAGGAGAGAGGGAAGAGAGAGAAGGGAGAAGAGAGAAGGGACGAGAAGAAAGAGAGGAGAAGAGGAAAGAAGAGAGAGAGAAAGAGAGAACAAGAGAGAGAAAGAGAGAAAGAGAGAGAGACGAGAGAGAGGAGAGGAGAGAGAGAGAGAAGAGAGAGAGAGATGAAAAGAAAAGAAAGAGAAAAGAGAAAGAGAAAGAGAAAAAGAGAGGAGAGAAGAGAAAGAAGGGGAGAGAGAGAGAGAGGAGAGGAGAGACGAGAGAGAGGAGAGAAGAGAGAGAGAGCAGAAGAGAGAGAGAGAGAGAGAGAGAGAGAGAGAGAGAAAGAGGAAGAGTAGAGAGAGAGAGAGAGAAGAAAAGAGAGATAAAGAAAAAAGAGAGAGGAGAGAGAAGAGAGAGTAAAAGAAGCGAGAAAGACGAGAAAGAGACGAGAAAGAGAGAGAGCGTCGAGAGAGAGAGAGGAGAGAGAAGAGAGAGAGAGAGAAGGAAGAGAAGAGAAGAGAGAGGAGAGGAAGAGAAGAGAGAGAAGAAGAGAGAAGAGAGAGAAGATGGAGAGATAGAGAATAATAAGAGAGAGAGAGATAGAAGATGAAAGAGAGAGAGAGAGAGAGAGAGAGAGAGAAGACAAACAGACGAACAAGCAGACGAACAGACAAACAAAGATCTCAACAAAATAGACAAAACACAAAAACAAACATAAGCACACAGACAAAGAAAGACAAGCGGAAATGAAGCAGACAGACAAATAAAGACAAATAAAGACAAAACAAAGAAAGCAGAGCAGAGAGACAAATACACACTCAAACATATGGGT